TAGATTTAAATTTATTAATGGATTTCTTTCATGTTTTATAAGCTGTTCTAATATCGGACGTATACATTACTAATGGGTTAACAGCTAATGGGGAGGCTATCGATAAATGGTATCGTATATTCATACTCTTTGTTCGAAATGTCATATATACATTAATTTTCATTCATCATAGAAGAAGATTCCTGGTTTTAATCTTTATTAGAATATGACATATTTCGTGTGAGAAACTGAAAAAGAAGCAGAGTACCTGCTTACCGAAGCCGATTCATGTATTTCATGCTTTGCTTGTACAATGTTGTAACACGCTTTGTATTGGAATACTAGTTTTCCAATAATGCAATGTAGTCAATTGTACATGTACTTTTTCATGCATGTGATATGACATGCAGTCTTTATTGTATGTATTTTCTCGAACACATGTTTATTGCAAATCTTTAATTGATTGGTTTACGAAGTGTCTGTGTGGTCCGTATGTACAATTATGCTGTTATACGTCTTCTTTATGTCTATTATAGGATTCTTGCACGAAGTAAGTGTAATATATTAATGTGTGTGATTCTCATCTGGTGCATCTATGTTGTTCCTACAACTGAGATATTCCATGTATGTGCTTGCTCAGAGAACTCGCAGTCGGCTAACGATTTTAATACTCGATTATTTCAGGGAATGGGCTTGTATGAGTAGTAACTTTCAGTTAGTCCTGAAACAAGTGTGCCTATCCTGAATGCTATTCCGATAATTGGACTTTTAGTTTAGGTGCAGACAGATATTTCTCCTTACTAGTTGGTAGACACATTTTATTACATGGGCTTACAGAAGCGGGCCTGCATATCACAAAGGGAAGATTAATAGTTATAGCTGAGAACGTGAGGCCAACTGTGTAGTTACAGGAACGCCAGAGATGAGAGAGAAGGGGCCTTGATGTACTAGAAATGTCACTAAGGTGCATCCTGACCGGCCATTATGGGGCTGTGATGCAGGAAGGATGGGATTGAGAGTGTCGAATTCGATCAAAATGTTCGAAGAACTTGGGAAAAGGGACAAATTAGTAGAATTTATCTGGCTTTGCATCTCTGCAGGGCAATTTAGATTCCGTTTTTCATAGCGCCTAATTAGTGATTTTGACACGGCAAAAGGAAGACTCGTAAATATTGACGGAAAACTTGTAGCGATTGAAATCAATCTTTAGCATAGCCTGAGAATATTGGTAGATTTAGCTGGATGTTGTTGCATCATTATTCCTTCAACACTTCAAGCAGGCTTTATAAGAACATTTGGTCAGGGAGAAATTTCACAATTCGCAGTTTAATGATGTCAAAGATGTCATTTGTTATCGGGGGAATAGGAAGGTGACCTTTGTGTTTGCTCGAGTTATTACCACATTTCCAGGTGTTTGACATGCCTCTCTACTTGTTTGTACCGTCACCAAATAAGGATCACAACGAATATAAGGACCCCCGGGCATGACGAAGGGATATACGTCTTTATTTTGTTATCATTTCATCTCTAATAGCCTTTGCTACAGAAAATACAGATGTGCCTCCAAATGAAAAGGTGAGAAAAGACAATTGGTACAAATGCACTTTGTGTTGATCTGCTGTGGTTGGCAGGTTTCTTTTAAGTGCGAGTGGCTTGAAAGATGTATATGCCCGATAAAACATTTCCAGTATTATTTTATCATTCTTACTCACATTCACGTTTGAATACTTACACTTACGTCCAAAGCCCATTTGTTTCATCTGAGTTCATGCATTATCAAGCCTGTATCACCAGTAGATGTCTCACTGCAGACACCAGTATCTCTCCTCCTAAATGATATTGGAATCTGACACTGTAGTCACAATCGCCACAATCTCATTTCGCTTGTCAGTTGTTATCTGATGATAATCACTTTATAGGCTTGTTCGGCATATCATTTCAGAGTTAGTGAGTTAATCGCATCAGAAGCTATTGGTCGCTTATGACAGCCAGGTATTACATTCCATGTAGCAATTGACATTATATCATGATAACAAATCGTTCCGGACATAAAATCGATAAGCAGAGTATATGGAACCTAATGATGTATAACGATTTCGCATACAATTGTTTACCTTGAAAATAGTAATGAAAAATCTCCTTGGGTAACTGGAGGACGTGTACGGTATTTGTGTGGTCATATGTTCCTGTCAGTCGATCGACCTAATGTAAACGCTTCAATATAAATTCACTTTTAATGTATTCTGTGGCAATGTAATAGCGTACCTTTTACATCAACAGTTTTGTACATATTTAGTTTTCATAAATCAGACGTGGTAATTTCTCAACCTAACGCAACCTCGCGAGAAATCGAATGTAACGACCAACCAGATACATTCAAGTGTTGAGGCAATGGGGTCTGGTAGCAGTACAAGACAACCTTATTATCTGACTTGGTCAATAACGACTCGCTTCAGCCATCAGTCTCCCTATAATAGGCTCAGCAAGGCGCTTAGGACATGTGTGAAATAAGTAGTTACGAAACTGTCACGCAGATTGCCTCCTATATCAAGAGGAAGATTCGGGTAGAGAAATGAGAACACTCTGAAAGCTTCTGTGATGGTATTTGGACCCGGAAACGACGTCTTGCCACATTGAGACGAGATACTGATGTAAAGGACTAGTTACTACGTTTTGCACCAGAGTTGTCTGAATAGCGATTGACCAGAGATTGAGTGGGCTGATTTATTGGAAATGTGCAGCTCTGCTGACCGACGGCTGAGAGGTGAAGAGGACAACATGATATACCGTATAACTAGATCATTGGTGTCATATAACAGAATGATGTATCACTTCCGAGCATCTGGAGCCAACATTACTGGTGTACTTGCAGAGTATTTTGGTACCATTCTATAGTATTTGGTCTGGCATGCTTGAGTACAGAGATACCTTTTGTCACCAGTCTGTTCATTGACCTTCAGTGTGACAGTTTCTAGTAGGTTTACTGCAGGGAATGCACAAATATAAAAATAATTTATGTCGAATATGTTGTTATATAACTAGACCGCATTGACAGTGGTCTCAGAGCGTCTGTCATGAGAGTGGAACTCAATTGTTCGAAACCACGGCCTCGTCTCCTAATTTCATCCCACCTCTTTTCTCATTTGTTTTCATTGCATGGCCTATTACAGAACTTGAACTTCGTTCCACAAATACAGATTGCGTACCGCATGTAACTGACGTGACGATCTATACTCACTCACGATCAACGTTTGTTCAGGCTGTCGTATAGAGAGTATGTACATGAATATATTACTACATGTCAGATAATACTGAGATTCACCGTGAATCAATGTATAGTGAAGGATTGGAAGCCTACCCTCTTAAACGGTTTACTGACACGTCCACGCGTAAGTCAGCGAATGAGGTGTGATTGATACTGTATCAGCTCCGTGTAATCTTCCCCATGGAGCGTTAGTTGTGATCCAGGAGAATAACAGATTCCGACCAACATCAAGTGAAAGCTGAAGATGATGGCAAATACCCTGCACACACACACACACGCACACACACACACACACACACACACACACACACACACACACACACACACACACACACACACGTACGCACGCACCCACGCGTACATATGAATACAACAGAGAATTCGTCAGGTATATATGCATTAAATAAACAAAATCCTGATACTTTCTGTCTGTGTCTGGCAGTCTGTCTAGCTATCGCTCTCTATTCACACCTCGAAAAATTTGGGGAATCCCATACGCTTCATTATCTTTGTATTTTATTATTAGTCCACACTGGATGCTAATTATGATAATTGTCTGAGGTACTTCATTTAGTAACAGGAAGCAGAGGAATCAGCCGCGACGCCAAACAACTATTCCCATAAAACTGTAATCAATCATGTCATTACAGACAAACAATTCCTGTACTGGGAATGTCCCTCTGAAACAGAAACTCGTGTTCTTCATCATAATACGATGTGCAAATTAAGTTAGATATCTGGCATCGTCTTGATAAACGTATACATCTTTGTGTCGTATGTTCGTGTGAGTAAAATGTGCGTAATATATATATGTCAGGCATACATAAAACTATATAATCAGTTTAGCTCTATCATCTGGTGGATCTGTCTCTCGTCGATGTACCTATAGCTAGTAATGTTATGTCAACGGATTAATTCAAATAACAATTTATTTCACATTTAAATGAACCAAATGAACAAAGAGGAAATGAAACTGGACATACATTTAAACCACAGATTTCAAGCAATAAAGAATGAATTTTAGCAAATGAATACCAACAAACCTTTTCTGCAGATACAAGTTTTATGTTTAATATATTTGACACAAAGTATGTACACATATACAGTATGATTTCCGAATAGTAATATGCTCTATATACAGATAAAATAGTGCAATAAACCAGTGGATATACAAGCATCACAAATAGCTCAAGCATATATATATATAATTATATATATTGGAGCGAGAGAAAACGATTTTCCATTTACACCGAGTCCTTGGATAGGACAGTCAATAGTTAATACTATTAACATAATCAGTACCTTTGTCAAATTGACTAATGCAGCAATCGATCATAACAACAATATACTTCTTCCTCAGTCCACCCTCTCGATCTGCAGATCAGATCGATGTTTTTGTACGATCTTATATGTAGTAGCAGTAACGAAATGAAGTTTCATTTTCTGCATATTAACCTATGACCAAGTCTTGTCGATAAGTGTACGAATGATAAATATATTTCTCTTTTCTTTGGAACAGTTAATCTTATTACAATGCGTAGATCTAATAACAAATATATTACCCACATTTGATAATTACAAACAATTCTTATTCGTTGTCTTGCTTGAAAGATCGTTCAGTGTGAGCGTATGGAATTGATAAGTGCTATCCTGAAGACATTACACCCATGGGAATGGCCATTCAAATTGATAGGGTAGGGCCTGAGGGGGAGGGTGGAGAGGGGGTTGTTTTTGGACATGAGATACTTTGTTACTGCACGGGTTCCAGTACTTAATATATCAATACATTTGAAACAATCTATATTTCCTGGTACATAATCTGAAATAGTCAGAAGCATAAATATTATTTTAAGCAAAAAATATTTATATAATATACAAAATGGTCAAGCATGAAACTATACAAGCATGAAACTATACATGCATAACATAAAAAGTAAGAAACAATATACATTCATCACAGATTTTTAAAAGGTTTGAGATTCCTTGAAGTATTACACTATCTGCGACATTCGTACCTATATGCTGGTGTAACATAAAGCATGAAATCGTTCGTGAAAACGTGAGGGTGTAGGAAGTAAGATCTAAGCATACCACGGTCTACCGTGAACTAGCAGCACCAGCTTGAAGACTGACAGCGGGGAAAGCTGACAATTGGCAGTTTTAGTACAAATGCTTTAGGTAGTGAGGATACCAATATATAATTACTACTGGTAAAAAAATAATGCGTCAGCATTTGTTGTGGTTATACATACGTTAGTATATGTTCTTTATCGTACTTACAAAACTGCTCTCATATTAACAAGACTTTGGCTTGCCTTTCAACAATATCATGATATACACGACAAAGAACCTGTCTAGGGTTACCTGATCCATTTATAGTACTGCACACTATAAGTTTAGTGACATGAACTAATCGGGTGATATTTAACTTTGTTTAGTCATGCAGTATTTCTATGCAGGCTTATTCTACGACCGATTTAAGTGCTAGCAAAGTATAAAGCAAGGGACGTTTTCATATCTCTTGATACTTCATGGCGCTACTAACTATGTCGTTGACATGAAACCAACATTGAAACATTACTGTTTGAACGTTTGATGACCATGATATCGATAACATTGTATTTGTTCTTAACAGAGAACAATATAATCTATAATACAATAACATTCAAGCTTATACATAGCTGCATGAGGGCAGATAACGGGAACTAACAAGAACTAAATACAGCTCTTCAGCATGTTCATTATTATATGCACCAAGCTTAAATCGAAATGCAATTACGACACTATCATCCTGAGGCCGGTCGTTGAAATTATCTGCATCGACATTGCAAATATAAAACGTCAGTGCAGAAGAATGCCCAGCTTTGACTATGCTCAGAAATAGAACCTATTGAGTGGAAAGGGCAGAAAGCTGTGAAAAGAAACAACGTTTAATCTGAAACTTTGAAACTTTAATACGTGTCCCTTTTCAGATTCCTGAAGATGTCGCTCGCCTGAAACGTGATAAAATGATTTAAAGAGGCTAAATGGTATCACAGTGATCATTTTCGTTCATAATGTAAATGAAAACCGCTAAATAAATACTTTATTGTTGTCGATAAACATTTTTTAAATATTTTGTTTCAATTCCTGAATTTCTGTATTTCATGGGACATGTGGAATATATTCAATATGTTTAAACTTGGTGCATATATGATTATTATCTATATGCAGCTTGGACTGCTCCCTCCTCTGAACTGTTATAATATGTGTAATTCATGCATTCAAATACAAAGCACACGAAAAGTAAATAGAATAGTTCCGTCAATTTAAGGAGCCACATGACAACAAAATGTCCTTTCATACACAAGTTGTGACATTCTGAAGATAACCCGTCTGTCTGGAAGGAAATGATTAGATCCTTGATTTAAAATAGCCTGCTGTTCACCGCAGCGTACAGGAACATTCGTGACAACTGTATATCGTTCAGTAATATGGAAACAAAAGCTCTTGTCATAATCATACAAAACATCTGCCGAACGCAGAAAACTTTGTGCCATCCGACAATATCACGGCAATGCTCGTGTGATTGCTATACAATTGTGATGATACTTGTCATGGGAAAGGTGAGTGTGCCCTTTCTCGTCAGTGGTACCTGCAGCAAACACATGCAGTCAAGTGTTCATCTGAACAACGATGGGAACATAGGGAAAGTGAAAAAACGGATTGCATCGATCATCTCTTCGGGAACTCCTGCATTAATTTGGAATGCCCATCACTTGCTTACATGGAACCTTTCAAAAGGTTTTCTGAGGCCATAAATAATGTAACCCTCATTTAACGTTTCAGCAAGAGTCGCATGACGCCTCCGTGACACAAACAAACAGGTACCCGACACGACGGAAGATACACGAGAAATGATTATCGTTGTCTCCATTGAGAACAATTAAGCTCTGCAGAAAATATAGCTGTTGACATTGAAATTGAATTGTCACACAAAGATAATAACCGCACCACCTTGACATTGTGGTGTGATGGCATTGTTATATACGGACGCATGCTCTCGATCTGAATAAAATGAAACACATTACAGACGATAAACCGGTTAAACAATCGGAGACAGAATTCGTCAAAGGCACACCACTAAGAAGTATCTTCATAATTGAACAAAATCTTGAACGTAGTGACAATTTCAGATCCTATAGAACAACACCCTTATAGAAGTTCCTTGACATAATTCCTCCAAAATAAGGGGGGAAAAAGATAATATTTGCTATTGAAAGTGACATGTTATGCCCGATCGTGATGTTAATGAATCATTTGTAACAGGTCTATTGAAAGCGTCACACTATAACAGTTGAATTGATAATGAGATTTATATTACACAGGCTGTGTAGCCGGTGCAATAACAAGGATAGCTAAGGTTGAAATTACAGTCCCACCAAGGAATATACAGAACAGAATTCTGTCCACAGTCTGGGCCAAGCGACGCCAGTCCTGCATCACCTCATAATCTTTTTCTTCTTTCTCATGTTTGTCCAGAATACGAGTTAAAGAAAACAAAATGTCCTCGTAAGACTTGGTAAACTTTCCTCTGGAGTTGGACTGCTTGGAATGTCCATGACTATGTTCACCCGATACACCTGACAATGTAGGGTAAGCCCTGTCCCTTCTATCCTGGGAGGTATTCTGACTATGCGTGTCATTTGGCAGCGGCTCGCCCACACCATTGTCTAAACTGAGTTCATCTTTCAGCTCTTGGGCAATGTTTTCCAAGGTTAGTTTCAGAGACAAGTTTCTCATGAAATTGCCCTCATTGGACGAGCAATGGTTAAGAAAGCACCTGTCGTTGTTGGAAAGGAATATACTAGGATGACGATAGCTCCCAAGAAAGATCTTACGCAGCCAGCCTGGAATTGCCCTTTTGTCTGGGCCTCGGTGATGGAGGTTCAACACAAATACCGTCATGATGACGGAAACAGATGTTAGCGACATCACTATCGTCAGGTAGATGCCTGCAAGATAACAGTAAAAGAATCCTTAAATTGCAGTCAGAAGAGTCAGCACTGGGGGCGCTAAGCTATTCAGTGTGTGGGTTGAAGCCATATCATATCGTGTAGCAGCAGGGCATTCCAAGTCATTTAACCAAATCAGGCTCCGAGTAGTCGACTTGTAATTATGCTACATTTACCTGAAGCAAGGATTTAGCAGTTTTCCGAGAATGTTGTAAACTGGAAATTGGAAAGTAGTCTTTTTGTTGTCATCCCTTAGATCTTTGTATATGGTAGCTGTTGGGCATTGTTGTTCCTTGTGCATGGGAAGATTTGAACAAAAAATTGATATGGGTCCATAATATTGGAATTTGACATAAAATATATCGATTTTTCACACACTGCATTCAGTGCTAATTAGAAAAAGAGGCGTTTGAAAGCTGGATTACGCTGCAAACTCAGAAATGTTACCTTGGGACATTATTTCCAATTTATTACCAACATTTGCTAGCTAATCAGATATTGTAATCTTTTTGCTTGAGAAGACATATAAACGAATTATGAAATATTGCAAAGAAAGTAAAGATCACTACAGATTGGCTACATCGTTAAAGGAGTTTAGTTTTTCATCAGGTACAAATTTACGATTATATCATTTTGACTTGCTGATGACGGCAAAAGGAAGATATACTTTCAAAGGTTGTAAACCTAAGAGTACCGATATGTAGGCAACATGTAATACATAACAACAATATATATATATTCACATATATCATCGCAGGATGATCATGTCATCATTCGTCTGAGTTACAGCCCTGAGGCTTCCTTCGATCCTGTGACACTGAGTTTGGGTCCCAAATTATTATTAATGGAATTTCCTTCATAGTAAGGTGACACACCCAGATACAGATACAACGTAAAATGTAACCCATTTACTTTTGGAATTAAGATAGAAATGATATTTGTTGTTATATTAAATGAATCTAGAACCACTTAATTATTAACTTAACTTGTTAATCATGTACATAGAGAAAATAATGTGTCCAATACTTACTTATCAGAGGAACAAATTCGGAGGTTTCAGGAAGATTTTCTGCAACTGCTAACATGAAGACTGAGAACGCCAACAGCACAGTAATTCCTAGTGCTATTTTCTCACCCGAGTCAGGTGGAAGACAAAACACGAGCAGTGTCAGCGCCGACATCATCACACACGGGAACACCACGTTGTACATGTAGTACAACGTGCGACGTCGAATTGTGACGTAGAATGTCACGTCAGGGAAAGGCTCGTCGCAGCAAGCATACCGCACAACGTTGCGGACAATTCTTATGCGTATAAGTTCCCACTCTCCGTTGACGACGTAGTTGCTTAAGTCGACCTCTGTTGTCCGGTTTGTGATGTCTACTTGATAGCCATCATATGTCCAAGAGCCAAACTTTAAACGACATCGCTGTATGTCGAAAGGAAAATAGGTGACATCGACCTTGCAGGAACTCTGGAGTTTGGTTGGGACAGGCCAAAACACGTTACCATCCGAAGATACCATAGCGTTGGCTGGCATAAGTCCGTCAGTATATTCTGCAGCACTGTAAAAGAAGTGCACTGTTTTATGAAAGCAAAAGACTGTCTTTTTAAGACACCCACTGACGGACTGAGTGTTATCAATGGTTTCCAAAGCCAATGTCGAAAATACTTTTAATGTGTGAGTAAAGTCATTACACTTTGTAAATTATCAAGTACTGTTCTGTGAACTATTGCTTCATCTCTATTATCAGATCTATTTCTAATATTTCTGAATAGTTTGCATAAAAAAACACATTACATCTGATCGAGATTTACAGATCTACTTGTGCCAGTTTATTACATAAAGGATAAAATGAATTCAATGCTCTTGCAGCTGTCAATATCCCTTCTTGCTTGGAATATGTGCATTCCTACTTGAATAAAGGCATTGGTATTTTTCTATATTCCCTTTCATACATGCATATATATGTACGTGTGAAATATGTTGAAGAAAGAAATGCCACACGAATACAGAAAATAGGAGTAATGACACTTTAATTGAGATCCCTGGATAAACCCATAGATTCCGGCTAGAGTAGCACAAGTGTGATTGCTATAATATTCTTGTTACTATGGTAACATGTCCTTCCGTATGATTTAATTTTTTCGCAGAAAATCTATTTATGAACTCTGCAAATTTGGGAATTTAGAGATTATTCCTTCTGTCATCTGGTTACATTCACTAAGGAAACGTTATCAAGTGTCCTAGTTTGTTGGCCGCACAATTTTCGTTATGAATATGATTTCAGAGGTTTTGAAGTAGATTTACACAACGAGGTTTGGAATTTAGAGATTTTTCATTTGGTTACATTCTGGAAACGTTTTCTCGTGTCCCTGTTTGTTGGTCTAAGTATATACGTTATTGATAAAGGTTTCAGAGGTTTTGAAGTACATTTATGCAACTAGCGTAGGCAATAGTATTGCTCTCTGTGAGAGGGTGAAATTAAGGAAATTTCATATCAAGCAGTTAAATACTGTCCTTCCTCAAAGTCACACGATGTTCTGTGTGGCAAACATCAAATACAGTTTAAAAAAAGAAGTAAAGTTAAATGCCATTTAGTTTTCAACAAGAGAAACATCCACGCCTCGGAATAAAAGCGGCAAGTCCTTTCCATAATCATAAGAAATCGATAGTATGAGTCGATTATATGGATCTGGCTATGTAAAAAGCATGTGTTCTGAATCAACACCAGTGGTCATGAAATCAGATTTTGCACACAATGTACGAGGACTGGTTGATTTGCATATTTAAAGTACACACAAAACAGTTTGCAGGTATGAAATAGAATACAACACTTTCACTGTTTACAGCTGCATGTGAACTAAATACACAGTGGGGCAGTAACTTTCAAAATTACAACTGAAATGGTCTGAACGTTAGGGCTATGGTGTTCCACTTTTTTCACTGTAAAGAGGTAAGTATCGAAGTTCAAAAGGGAAGGGAGAGACTCGAAGATGAATCAGTAACAATTTGCGCTTCATCCATGCTTTAAATTGATAGTCGAAGACTCACCACGCGTCACGTGCGAATATAGTGGAATTCTCAGGAATGAACTAGAACATGGCACAGGGTTCCACGATCTAGGTTCATTAACCCCCGTTGAAAATTACGTAGTTAGAATCGGACTCAGGTGCTTTCAGTGAACAATTTAAGCATTTTCCCTCAACTGGCAAGGTCATGACTTCGGTTTTCAGCGACTTCAGTACTGATGGAATATCTCCTTAATGGTCAGACCATTAATGGCCAATTTATGCTCTTCTCTGTGGGCAAACCCCTGAGGATACGAAGGCTAAAGCTCACTGAAGATGCGTTGTCCCTACACGACAATACACTTGCCCACGCTTCTGTTGCCGCCATAGCAGTCATACATGACGGTGACACTGAACGTTTTAAAAATCCCTCGTACTCTCCAGATCTGGCGCCGTCAGCAATCCAGCAAGCATATATGTGAATGGTGATGACACGAGTAACATTTCACACCATCAGCAGAATGCATCTAAACCACTATAATCCTTGTATTTCAGCATCGTTGTTAAATATGTGTGAATCTCTAAGAGCTCAATGAGAATTAAGTTTTAATATATTAGCAATCAAATCCCATCAACGTTGTCCATCAAAGTTTGGCTCAGATAATTTCAGTCACCCGTCGTTTAGTGAGATATAGTACAAGTCAAACACAAACATAGATCAAAATAGATCATTGATGGGCTACAGATTCCTACTTCTTACCATAATAGTCTATCTAGAAAATTCAAATGTCCTTTCTGTCAGTAAACATCGGATGACAGTTGCTGTAACTTTTGACAAATAGTCACGAGATTTTTAATGATTAGTTCATTGGAATCTGATTCGCAGGATAATTTAAAATCCTTATTCCCTGGCTTTCATGTGACATAATATATGTCACATATATATTTGTCAATTGCACTAGTATCTCTATTCAAACAATAAATGTGTCCATGCTCACATGCATGTATAATGGTTATGTTATAATACTACAAAGTTTTCATACAGGACAGTCAAAAGGAGCTTTCTGACACAGACTCGGTATATTCAAGTTCCCTTGCGTTCTACCTATGGCACTATACCTCACTCATTGATCCACTCTGACAAATCAGATGGCCCATATTTGAACAACGTACGACTGTTGTTATTGTGCCCGATAAAGTCACCTTACTGTTTTACAAATGGAGACATAAACTATGTAAATGTATGTTTGTTTACATATAACATCTCGTAGACATATGTACATTAAGATATCTACAGTACGTGTTTATTTAAAGTATGTAATATGTTAATATTTGTTAATACATGTTGGGACAATATGTGCGAGCATGGACCTGCTGAAGTATTCCAGTTGACCGGTAAATGGCTGGAAATCACAACACAACATTTCTAACGGCTGCTAGAACTTAGTGTGTGACTACGGACACGCGTGGGGCAGTTAACATGATATAATGATTATTGTTTACATTTACTTAAGTATGATATAAATTTAAGTTTATAACAATACATTTTCTTACAGTTAGTATACTTTCAACGGTACCTTCAAATAACGTTTCTGTTAGCTTGGGTAAAGCAGCGAAAGCAGTATTTCGGCATACAATTATACTAACACACACACACACACACACACACACACACACACACACACACACACACACACACACACACACACACACACACACACACACACTCACACTCACTCACTCACACAGAAAGAACGTGAACATACTTGTTGTAAAGTACGATATCTGGCAGCCATAGTTTGTGGCACGGTATCCTCAGCATAGTGATGTTGTTGAACATCGGTGGATTCCAGGTGAGGAATTCGTCCACCCATTCCTGAAAAGAGAGTACGCACTGTTGTACATGGAGAAGCAGATGGCTCCTATGCTATATTCGTTCAATAACTGTTACCCATCGATAAATACTTGGGTGTTATAGTTTTGGAGGTACCTGATCGGTACATGCTATGTAACACATTCATTTCAAAAATCGATTTGCCACTTTCCAGGATTATTTTACGGCTTCCTGGACAAAAAAAGTAAGTTTTGTCTTTTTTAATGATTTCCTTATCATGTGTGTTTCAATTACAACTGGGTCATTCATTTCACAGAAAGTTGTTTTTGGGATTTACGTGTTTGCCAAAGCTATAATGTTTCGTATAATGTTTTTTTTATTAATTGTATTTACCTGATCTAACCACACGTTTGTAACGAGAACCTGATTCTTCTCATCCTGAAACAGAACAAGGGCAAACGGTGAGTGATCAGATTCATACAGGAATGCGCCACATCCAAGAAAACCAGGGTGTACATACAAGTGCCCATGACATTTTCCACGGCATAGTATTCAGACAGTAATCAAAACCAGAAATACCTATGTTCGAAAACATGATCATAACTGAAGCAGAGGTTTGTAGTCTACACCATAAAACTGCAGTAATTATCTAGAAGGACGAAGGACAGAGGTAGCTTTCTTTGACATCTTATTAATCTTGGAAAGCTTTAGAAAGGGAAATTGACGAGGAAGGCTCTCTCCTCTTCATCTCTTCTAACTTTGTCTTCATATTTCCCCCAATAAAAGGAAGCATATACTTAAGTTACTGTATTACAGTTTATACGCAGATTGGCCATGCAAAAAGTTCTCTCTAATTTATGTGGACTAATTCTTGTAATGACATAAATAATCGACTCAGTTGGTTTTCATATGTCAGTACGTTTAGCTGACCACAGGCAGCCACTGATAAGTAGCGAACTGTATTGTAGCAGAACTTCAGACATATTGGATTCTCACGACTACAGTTTGGTTCGAAATAGTTACGTTTATCGTTTTACACAACAGATCTATCGTTGAGCCATAATGACGTATGTTCTTCGGATGGTTCAGTCTGGGGGAAAACCCTAACGGCAGTATTGAGTAATCTTAATTCTAGACAGTGTCGGGGGCCCATGCACAGTGTCTCCATTTGGGAGGTCGAAGAACAGAAATAGACATAATCCTCTGCTTAAGTTATTTTAAAGTCCTCTGAGTGCACAATTACACATGGGATTTAGAAGACTCCTATCGTATTTTGAGCAGCTTTATTTACGTTTCCAACACGTGACGTTGCTGTTGCAACGTCGTCGTTGATAGCAACAGAATCCTAATGCTAATGTTGGCAATGTTCAACATGTATGCAGAGCCTGAGAAGTTCATTCACAAACGAGGACAACCACAAGATTGCCTGATGGAAACCTAATACCGCTAATTGGAAAACTATGTAAAACAAGAGTGGGCCAGGTTGGACGTGGCTATCCCTCAGCTTTTACTCTAGCCTTGTCTGATCAATTTTGGATCTGCAGAATTGTATTTAAGAGTGAAAAGAGGATGATGTCGTATCCCCCCTAAGGGGGTGTTTGTCGAAGTAATGAGAGCAACTGTATTCGCCACCACGCTGACTTCCTTGTTTACATTAGAACATGGTTTGGATCAGAAATTCTGGACACGGGATATAGTTTGCAATCAGATTTTGCTTCCGTCCTTTTCCCCTTGGAGAGATGGTGTCATTAGCCTGAAGCTATTCACAATAACATAAGGAGGGAAGGTATCACATGCATGGACATTGTTTATACTGTTAGTGACTGTTCAATCACCATCATCTGAAATTGGGCAAGCATTTTTTGTTTATAGATACAGGCCCGTTTTCAGATTTCCTTTCATGTTAAAATCATTTGCTAAAATCGTTCTTATGATATGGTCCCCTGTCTGCATGTCAAATGAGGCTGGCATGCTGTGAGTTTGACGTGATGTTTCCTTCCGCCCAATCAATGGCTATGATACTCCATTACTTCCGCGAGTGAAAGTAAGATGTCAATGGGCGATCTTCTCGTATTCTGGGTCATTAGTTGCTTATTCAGTCTCACAAGAAGTATAGGTAATTAATTGATAGGTGGAAGCAGCGCCGTTGTTGATAAAAGTAAGGCTCCTGTTGATATGCAGGGATGGAATTGGATATTTTTTTCATCAGATACCTTCAAAGAGTATCACGGCGACTTCAACAGCTCCACCTGTGCAGACCTGAACAACAACTCACAAGGGAAATGTGCTCGAGTTCAAAGTGATTGTAAAGGTCTGATCTTAGACAAGTGATCTTCATCACAGCTGAGTGTTCCTTTGTATCAGGTTATATCACCGTCTTGTCCAGACTGGATGAAATATCAAACAGGGTTCAACTGACAAACATGAACTTGTGTATGTATGCGTACGTGCGTACGTGTGTGTGTGTGTGTGTGTGTGTGTGCGTGTGTGTTGAGTTGTGTTGGGCAATGTATTGCTAAATATCCCCTTTCTAAATACTCATTGAGTAACAAACAGGTTGCCATGACGCCTCCCGCGAATGTTTAAAATAATGACTAGACTATGTTGTAAGATTGTATAAATGAGACTAACGAATTCCGTTGTGAATCTTGTTTCGAGTGTACGCTTTCTATCCGACCGTCCGTTGACAAACACATCAATCATGGATAATGTTTTTGGAATGGAATAATTTCGTGAAACAGCGTGGAAAGAACACGCAAACAAAAGGTATAAAAACAACTTAATTTCTTGTCAGTAAAATATTTATGAATGAAGTTTGAACTTTCTATTTGATGTTTTATTAGAAGAGAGTTGATTGGTTACGGGTTGTTATCCGTGGGTTGACACTCTACCGTGGGAGTACACTATCATTTCGGAGGGTGATGTTCGGGATGTTGAAAAGACACCAATGTTATTATTCGTACATACGTAGCTAAACAATAACAAAGGAGAAAATGTACTGATCGTAATGTTTTATCTATGCTGATGGCCTCGTCTTCTCATATATCAAAAGCAAGGGTACCGTAAATGACTTAGCACGGGTGCAACGCCAATCACTCTTGCACGAAAGTAGTTTTTACTGAAAATGTCGAGCAATGTAATAAAAAGGTGTTTATGAAAATATTCACGGTTGTTACGTTTTATGTCTCGCGCTGTTTTCATGGAGGCCTTTAAATAGTTCAAGAAAAGGAGAATCGATAGCGTAATGCTTCGCGCGTTGATTAGCCCAGATTGGAGGCACAAAGGATGCTGAAAGCCGGTAAACATGGTTACTGGATTGTCTAGATTTCATAAGAAGTCTATATTTCGCAATTACATTTTTGGGGATTTAAAGTCTGGAGATTGGTGGGAGATGAGTGTAGTTGTACATTGATAACACGTGTAAGTAGTGAGTTCGCAATGCATCACGTTCAGAAACGTGAAATGACAAGATAAACGATTCATCACGAACTCATATGCTTCATTACTACACCCGATACATTGGTGTTGTCTGTTGATCACATGTCACAAACACACGTAAAGGCAAGTCAAGGGTCCGTCTGAATAATACTCGGGAACATATGTGCCATGTTTTAATACTAGGCAAATGTATCAAACATCATTTTTGTCCCAGACTCGTATAATTAGGTACTGTCCTCGGGGTGGTTTTGAAAAGCTTTGTAAGGCATTGATTGTTAAAACCTTGATAAGCGACTATTCGGCAAGGGTGGAATGACGCTCTTTGATGTCGTCGGAGAACGAGTAAAGAAGATATCGATTGTACCTCTAAATTGTGAAATGTAGACATCAAAGGTTAGAGCTGGTGGAATATTGCTCGACATAAAAGGGAATATTGACAATCAGAAAGCTGCAGTAGTGGCTCTTGTGTATATTTTTGTCGTTTAATATTTTCACGCATAGATGTAAATGTGAAGGAGATGATGCGGTTTCACTGGTCTCATTTAATTACGAGCTCAGGTGGGTAAATCACTGTTAGTAATTGGATATTTGACAACTATGGAAGGATATAGGATCATTAGTATACCTTCATATAAAATGTCGTGCTAATGTGCCATATTTTGATTTTGCCAATCCGAGCAAAAGTACTCGAATGCATACAGATACAGGTCTCATGTTGGTATTTAGTAAAGTAAGGCACTTCTGGTCAAGGAAGTGCTGCGTAATTCGTTTCGAAAAGAAGTTAACAAATACAGCGCTTGCTGCGGTGGTAGTCAGGTATGGACAAGCTGATTAAAACACAATTGCAGAAAACTATTTTTCTATCTCCGTAGTTCACAGTACATGCATAATGCTTGTAACAAAAAATCAATATTCTGAGGAATATGGCAAATCAGTCTGTTTCAACCAGAATCATGTAATCCCAGTTTGCCCAGTTTCGTTTCATTGAGAATGCAGATTCCGCGAATCGATTATGTATGAACTATCTAGGTTCGTTATAAACTGTGGAGTAGAAGAAAGTATACACCATGATTGATAGTGGCTGAACTGAAACAGACAAGAAATCGTTACTCGATAGTCATTTTGTGGATATATCATTATATTTTGCAGATTTTATTTGTAGATATTTGTATTGAGTGGAACTAATGTAATAAAGTTAGAGTACAGTTATTAATTGGTAAATATTTGACGGTTTCACGTTGGATTCTTTTTGTGTTTTAATGGTTAACTTGGAGTGAGTGAGTTGGGTTTTAGCAATATTGCAACAATATCACAGCGGGAGACACTCAAAATGGTCCTCGAACATTGTACCCATGTGGGGAATCGAACCCAAGGCCAAGAGCATACGGTTTAACCACTATTCTACCTCACCGCCCGGTTAACTTGGAAATCCGCACGTTACAATATATGTAAACCAAACATTCTTTTTGTGTTTTAATGGAAATTGAATTGAATGCAGACATTGCATCACCATCATTTTCCAACTTATCACTGGATGATATCATCTCCATTGACAACAACCCGAAACCTGTCGTGTGAGATGTAGGGAAGAGAATACAGAACGAATCTCACAATGTTTAATTCACAAGTCCATCCAATATGATTGAACCCACATTTAGAGTTGTTCATAACTCATAATTCGAAATACATTTATAAATGCGATTAAGGCTGTACAATACTGACACACAAATCGATATTTCAGTTCGTGTGTACTTAAAGATAATCTTTTTTGTTTTAATTTGGATGCATAAAATCTGCGTACATGTAGACTATCCCGTTGGCAATATATGAAAATAACAACGTTATGAGAGTATGTGATGTGGATGTTAAGTGATTTCCATATTAGTATGTGGTAAGAAAACATCATCTGCCGAGCTTGTTCAGGGCCGACTGCGCACAATGCAGCTCAACACTTTGTTGACAGTAACAATATTATTGTGTACAATGTCACTTGTGTCGTCATCATCAAGATACACAATACCAAATGCCATATATTTCATGTGTACATAGCACGCCAGACAAATCTATTACCAATAACCTTCAGCACATTCAAACACACTCACCATATCAAATATTTGTGTTAGCGTTAATCCCATTCTGATAATGACTGGGGTTGTTGCATTCCGGACTGGCCTCACTGACTTCTCATAGCCCCTCATGATGTGGTTCATCAGCCTCTGTTCATCAGGGATGTTGGCCATTTCCTCTGCTGTCCTTTGCACTTCCACCAGCTTGATCTCTACGACGTTGCCTTTTACCCCGCATCCTGAAACTAGTATGGCAGATGCAGATATTGGTTCAAGATAAAGTACAAGATAAAGATTTCAATTGTTACACTATGTCGTCATGATATACTACCCATCACTAGTGTAAATGTGGCCACTTTCTTCAGTCAACTGTTCTAAACTTGATTTTGCAAAATATTCCATTGTTTACACATGAACTAATGTATTGTAAAACACATTCGTAACGTTGAAAAGATTATTGTCATGAGTTCGGTAAATGTTGAAAATCAGTGAAAACTGGCGAATTCTTAACAAAACTTTACACCAAAACGCAACTGTTCACATGGACGATATTTGGACATGCTTTTAGGAATTTAATGCATGGTCCTCGTACAATTCATCTGCAGAAAGTTTGCAGTTGGTTCCCCCAAGTTAGTGGAGACATTCATCTTCGATGTAACCATATGTATAGTATGACCAGAAATTATTGCGAATTTTAGGAATATGTTTCATTAGATTTCTAGTATAAAAAACCTTGACCAGCTCTCAAGTGCTTGGTTTCATTCAATAGAGACAACTCCGTTAATCCTTTTTCATTAGTTTGTGAAGAGTTATCCCCCTTGGTTTACTTGCTAGCAGACGACATTTTCAGTGATCCTCAGTGCTTTACTTCCATCTGCTCACGTGTTCTATGGAAATGTTTGGATTTTCCATCAGGACAACGACCCAAAACATCGTTCAAAGCATTCACAGGCTTGGTTTCGGACCCAAATTATGACATTATTAGATTGGCCAAGCTATAGCCCTGACCTAAATCCAATAGAAAACGTTTGGGGACATATGAAGGAAAGTGTCAATAAGAAAAATCTGACAAATATTGCTGAAATGAAAGAAGAGGTGGTCCGACATTGGGACAGCATGGACAACGACTTTCTAACTTCTTTGATCAGTAGTATTCCCCGCCGCATTGAAGCCTGCATTGCTGCCCATGTTGACTTGACAAAATACTAACTGTTCACCTGTCTTTGAATCTGGGGTTATGTTCTGCTAATATTCACATTTAAAACGTGAGTAATGAGTGAAAAAAAATTTAAAATATACAATCTTAAATTCTCAATAATTTCTGGTTGTACATAACATATAATGAGTGCTTTAGGTGAGTCTAAACTGTTGATGGGTAGTATATTTCTTTCCAATTTGGAACGATGTCACTGTTGTAGATGTTGGTAATATATTTTTGTACATGACTTTACATAAAATGTATATTAAGTTTACACGCGGGCTCATCTGAAACAAATACAAGGGTTATATATCATCATCAACAATATGTCAACATTCACCATCATGGCCGTCAACATAATCAGGCATATATACGGTAATATATCTCCGTCGAAGATGTTGGTATGTTTTCCCCGTCGGTAGTGATACAACGTGCAGAAATTCAATTCTTCCTCGTTTCGTGCTAACTGTTTGTGTGAGGCTAAAACTCAGCGAGAGATATAGAACAAGCGCGTATGTCAACAAAGATGATTCACTAAGAGCTTCAAACTTTCTTAAGTGCTGAACAAATCAATACACTCATGAGTATACATACCTTGTGTTTTTCTGTTCACTAAAAATTATCAGAAAGGTAAAATTAGATGGATTGGATGGGTTGTTCCAGATTCTTATAATTATTTTAATGAGCCGTTGTGATGAGATTTCCTGTGTCTGGCCTCGAAATCGCCAAGTTGTTATTAATTGTATTGACCTTCTGGTAAATAAGCTTGCAAACACACATATTGCTCTCAGTAGTTTAATTGCTTAACATGTCGTTGCAGAATGCCTCTGTGTGTTCACATTTTTCGTGATTGTGGATACACGAGTGACCATACCATAGAAGCGTGCCCATTTATGCTTATTTAGCTAGCCGTCCGTTGGGTCGCTAATTTATATATATATATATATATATATCCGTGTTACCTAATGACTGGAACACTGCTCAAAGTAGTTTTATCCACAATGACTAACTCACTTTACACTATTGCAAAGAATGACATACGAACAATTCCTTGATCCAAATAGATAAGATGATACTCATTGGTAACTAATAGATATTCCATACGGTATAAGGCTAAAACGAAATTTAGTCCAGAAATAAATATTCTTCTCTGTGTATGTCTATGGACGTAGCCTAAAAACTCCAGTAACGAACCTGGTTGTCAAATGTCAATAACTCAGTCATCTAGTTAACTCCAACACTTCAGAGACGATAGGAAAAACACATCTCGGAAAGTTACAATAGGCATTCTCAGCAGACCAGGCACAGTGAGATCCTTCTTGAGATAACGAGGAACGCTCAGAGCGTCAGGAACCTTGAAGAAGCCCTTTCGCATTCTCGCGTGGAGCTCCTTCACATGCCCATGAAACTTGCGTGGTAAACATAGATCTGGCAGGGACTTTTTATTAAGCCTATCGTGTCGTGAAAAGCACGTCTACCCTGCCCATACATCAAGTTTGTTATTCCATTTTTTGGCTTCATTTATCAGCAGTTGTGAGTGCTGCCTGGTCAACAGGTCATGTCCAGAGACGACTTGATGATCGCCGCACTCTCACACTATATCACGCTCGGTACATAGGAGAATAATGTTACCGGATTCCTTTTAGGATTGACTTGATTGTAAGATGCAGGACGTGGTTTTTATGAATAGAAGACTACCGTTCTTTGGTCCCTGTTTTCTCAGGAACATACTGGGAATTCGTCAAGGACAGTTTGGTCAATCTGCATAATGCGTGTGTCATTGTCCTTAACTCTTATAACACCATCTGATTTATCATATTCTCACAACACATTTCCACCTAGGCACTTTTTGTTTCTCTGTATACCTTTCTATTGTTTTTATTTGTTCCTGAATGTCTTTTTATTTGTGATATTTGCACAGCTAAACCATTTATAAAGTTAGAAACTTTAAACTCTTCGGAAATGTCAACATCGTCCTCACTCTAACACAGTAGGAGTCTTGTTATAAGGCAGTTGTAATCTGGTTTTAATAGTCACATCAGGCTTAAATGCTAAGGTGGCAATTTGCAACGTCTCTAAACCAAATTGATGACTACCAGGTTATCATTGTTTTCTCTTGGTCTTTTAATATATGTATCCCAAAGGAGAATTAGTTCAGTTAACTTGCGACATTTATCTGCAAAAATCCATCACAAATTGATAGCTACATGAGGAAGTTACGAAATCATCTGACTATGGAGTTCGGAATAGCACAGATTGGTTGTAATGGTTCACGCAGTGAATGAGTCGATCGAATATCCCTTTAACATGCAGTTGACACTTCCAAAAAAGTAAGCCCTATAGTTAAAAAGTTTCAGGAGAAAAATCTATAAGAAGGGTGTAATCTATTCGTCACGATAGTGAAAAAGTAAACACGTTGACGAAGTTATCAGCAGTTGCTAATGTTTACTCTAAACGATCCCTTCTATTGACCCAAGATGATAATGTCACTAGATGGCGGCGCCTTTAACAGAACCAACTGAATACAATATGAGCAGATACTTCCATAATTGAACAGGAAGAGAAAGTATCAAGTCATCCTTTATGTGAATCATTTGTTGTTTTTGATACTATTTCACACAGGATACCTTTTACACTAACACTAGTAGTTCCATTTACGTAACCGGATATATGCCGTTCAATAGTTCATAGGGAACACTCCCCGAGCTTGGTTGTCGTGCTGTGTTTGTCCTGGATGCTTTGCGTTTTGGTGTTTACCTGTACAACCGGTCTCTTCAAATATTATCGAACGGTTTTTCCTTAAATGGTAAGAAATCGTCTAATATGAAGTTTATACAATGTTGTCATTACAACGTTTAAAAAAAGTTATAATTAAAACTATGTCACTTTAAAAATATTGTTCAAGGATCGGAATACGTGAGCATTCGTTTACACCTTGGTCCCTAACATTGACGTATTTAAAGTGGCATTGACTGTTCTTGTTTGATGTTCATACTCGTCAAATATTCTGAAATATTGATAAATGTCATATTTGGCAAACGTGTTCTGGCACCAGTTGTGATGTGTTATCATTTGAAGTCGTTCATCAGCATGACATGCACCAAACGCTAACTGCCATTGGTAATGAGTGTCGGACGGAGATGTTTATCCTCCTTGTCATTGTTCCTGAGGTTTTTGCAATTTGTCCTTATATTAACTATTGATCCATATATAGCACTGCGGATTCCTATACTTGACATAATTAATTGAATGCTTCACACGCATTTAACTATTCGTACTCCCTCACTTCTGCATAGGAACATCGCGTAACCCTTTTGTGGGATCAATCGACACTTCCCAGTCACTGCACCACATGCATGCATTGATAAAACCGATATCTGTTTTAATACGTCTGTGAGATCATTTTACATTTTATGTCAAACTCCAACCCCCTGCTTGGCACTGATGGGAAGAACTACACGGATTGCTCTACTAAATATTTCAGTTCGAATTATAGTAAAACTTTCATGAAAATCGCATCAGACAAAACTGATTTACCTGGCTTCAGAAGGCGGTTAATATAATCTTTTGAAACATTGATATTTCAAACTGTGTCCCTGAACAAAATATTGATCCCATTTCAGTCCTTACAACGTGATGTTTGCCTTCAATTGACAAGATTTCAATAATATGCAGCTTTCTGAGACCTCGTTATACAGGAATTCCTTAATGCTGCTTTGAGCTATAGGAAGACAAAGGTTTTCCAAATTAGATGAATATGATGGTGCTTATAAATTACATTGACATGTTCAAGAATCTTGAACGTTTTTACATTTTGATTGGATATTTGTGCCAGCAAAGGCAAGCATCATTTTTATTATACTTTTCAGAACAACACATTATTGATCATAATGTTACTAGTATGCTTTGTAATACCATAAGTGATAATTTAACAAAATGTATAAGGTGGCTATCTGAAAATCTTCCTGTATCTCTTAAATTGTCTCTGTATAATTAAAGAGGCCCGACGAGACAATTGATAACGGCACACCATTAACCATGGCAACG